CACCTATGCTGGGAACTTTTTTCCAACTTTTCTGATTCTCAAATTTTAAGGAGACATTTAGGTAGGGTAAGTGCGGATTATGTTTCACATTTATCACTCTTATCAAGACAGTTGTTTCTTATACATAATGAAATGAATAAAAAATTCCATCTATTGGACTAATACAAGTAATTGTGCATGAATGTATAAGACGTTTCACACTTACATTCACCCATGTTATACTAGAAGGTACACAAAGTTAAGTCATTTTTGCCTTTAATACAACATGTTTGGTGACTGTCTATTAGACTTTCGAAATTGATTCCACCATTTCAGCAATTGAAACTGCTTAATATCTAGATATAGCATATTGTGCCAAATTTGCCACAAGGTAAAGGCAATTTATTTGGAAATTTGACAAAATGTCATAGGTTTTAACCCCAGAAAACCCACAAAAATGACCAAAATATAAATTGAATTGAGGAAAAAGACAGTATTTGATTTGGCCAATACCTCAGTTATAAGAATTTTTGCCCTCAAGGCATCCACATTTCATGGATCAAGCATGTAGTCTGATGTTGTATCTCCAGTAAATGCCACCTGAGAAGACTATAATGTCTGTAATCTGTACAGGGAGGTCTCAAGTCATATGAGTACCTAATAAAGAAAAAATTTAACCAAAGTATTTCACTTAAGGTGAAACCTCAACACCAGATTTCTTCAATTTCTTAATCTGTTTGCCTTTGAGATGAATGTATTCCTTCTTGAACTTCTTTCTCACAGAGTAAATGACATAACCCTGAACAAAACCAAGTAATTGTAAATCTCCAATGCAGAAATTAAACTTCCAAGAATATCAACAGGGGTGAAGCTAGTAACAAGATGCATTTGCCCCAGAAGCCCAGAAAAAACATAAGAAATGCAGCAGAACAAAGAAAAAGAAGAAATAAAATTGGTCCAGTCTGAGATAATGCAGTGACCTCCAACCGTGCAGAAGTATGGGTGGATCACAATTTTATTTCTCAACAATGGGTTTACAATTTATTTATCTAATTCAGAGATTTGAACATTCACAAATAAAGAATATATATAATTTTTCTATATTTTCTGCACAATTCACAGAATTAAAAAATTAACCATACCTGGCTTGTTATAACATGGTGAGTTCTAAAAGGTCTCACAACAATGTCATTCCGCAATTCATATGTTTCACCTGAAGTCAAGTTGGCAATATTCATTATAAAGATTATAAATGTCAAAAGAGTTACAGAACTTTCTAACCAAAGCTACATACCAACATCTGGTGCTACCAAATCAAGGTTTAGTTCCACTTGGCCCATTGCCTTATTAATTTCAAACAGCTTCTCAACATCTTCTTTGATTGATGGTGGTACAAACACTGTTGGAGGCTTTCAGTTGTATAAACCACGACTGGCTACGTACATGGGCAGCCAACCCTGATTTTGTTAACACAAGGTGAAGGTACGGTAAAAATCCAGAATTACATGAAGCAAATATCTCATGGATGAGAAATTCAAAGTTGCTAGAATGCATAAAATAACTAAAAGACTAGAGAAAATTTCAAATAAAATGAAGTTTAGGGTAGACAACAACCAAATAAAACTCCAAAAGCATTAGACAGAACTATCAAGAGATGTGGTTTTTATTTGAAGTAAACACAACTTGGTTTCATTCATGGAACAAATAACTACTCTCATCTCAACCTAGAACATGCTTCCTGATGGAGAAATCCTAACAAACTACACATATATTTGAACGCCAGTAACCCGATTGCCTCCTATCTGAACTCAGTTGTTACATCCCAGACCTGAAATCTTAGCCAAAAAGGTCAAGTTTGAGCTGTAACTTTTAGATTAACTCCATTTCTAAATAGTTGCAGATATGCTTCTTAGAGAAAAGATACTTTTAGGTCTCCTTTAGGAAGCTTTTGAAAACCAGTTCATAATAAATAAGTCTTAAACTTCTGTAAAAGGCTATCTTTAAATAGAAAAACAGTTTAAGGACAACTTTTAATAATCAGATGACTAAAGCTTTAAAGAACAGATAATCACCTCTGTAGCGAACTAAGGAGCTTAGGTTCCAATTTAAAAAAAAAAAAAAAAAAAAAAAAACACATACTTTGATTGAATATTTACACAAGTCCTTGGGTAGTCCGTGTGTACACTTTATTTATACAGCAAATTCTATCATAATATACTAGATTAAGAATCAGCTCTCAAGCTTACTTGATGGCCCATTTGGTAAACAAAACATGTTCTAATAATGCGAAGTTCTTTTACAAAACATTGAGCCAGGATTCAGCTTTGGAGGAAACTCTTAGTCTCCCAAAAATTGTTGATCTCTTCACTAGCTAACCTGAAACAGGATGAACAATACACCATTAGCTATGAAGCCCAATAAGCATAGGTTATAACTTAAGAGCCATAACTGAAACCTTAATTTAACTTAATAAGTTCCATCAATTAATTTACATTGTTCTTCCATATAAAATCTAAGTCATGATACAAGAATTAGGCATAGACAATCATCATCTCGAAAATAATCCACATTCTCTAAATTAGAACTATCTAATTTAGAACAGGTAAGTTCACCATTCGAGAACAAATAAGAAAATATGTTCCTTTACCTCAGGAAGCACAGAATCAGTTCCATCAAACACTGCTCATCAATATTGAACAGTTTCATCAATGCCATAAATAAACATGACATAAATACTTAGCAAGGCAGCCTTATGCTTGTTCAACATGCAAATGAATGCAAGTTCTTATCTATGGATTTTCCTTGTGGGTGTACATCCCACCATACAAATGGTCCAACCAATGGTTCTTCATACCATGCAGTGGATCTAGATATCTTTCTTTACTTACTCCAGGTTCTTTAGGAGTTCTTAGTTAGCTTAGTAGCTTAGGCATCATTTTAGATATCTTCTTTCTTTACTCCAGGTTCTGTAGGAGTTCTCACCTAGCTTGGTTCCAAGTAACTTTAGGAGCATCATCATTCTTTACCCCAAGTAACTTTAGGAGTATCTTACCCAGCCTAACAGCTTAGGTGTCATAACATAGATTCATATGCATATTGATGCAATCTTTTACATGTAAGTGCATGTACTTCATATTCAGTTCAGTCCTTAATGACTCATGTTAGTTTAAACTTATGCATTTGATTACAAATTGCAAATACAAAGCATATCTCAACATGTCCTATGTCATTAGGCTCACGGGTTAGTCTTGAACCCAAACACAATTAAATTCGCATACATATTTAGACTCGCATAGAACTCAGAAATCAATATCATTAATTCATAGTAATCTGAATACTCACTTCCAGATTTCAAGTACAGAGCTAATTTCACAAGACAGTAAGTCTTAATCATGCTTTAACAAACAGATACCTATTACTAGTTCAC